GACATTTTCCATGTGGCAATTTTAATTGACACGTATTTTATACATAATTTCTACGTGGTAATTGTTGGCAATATTATTTACTAGTTTCTATTAAAATCCCAATAATGACCATATTTTAATGGGAAACTCTTTATTGTGCAGTTTTGTTGTCATATGATGCAGCTAAGTAGTTGTAATCAAGGCTATTGCAAAGTATACGGGCCCAAAATAGTCTGATAATACATTTGATCATTTCAGTTCACCGTTAATTTCGTTAATCAATATTTAATACCAAATCTCTCATTAATGTCATTACTCTTGTATTTAAGTCTAATTTTTCTAGTCAATCACTCCAAAGCAAATTTAAATATAAATTCGAATTTTAGTGCCTAATTCAAATTCTCTCATTAATTCCTTTAATTAATGATCCCCTTTCATTAAATTAGTTTTGTTAGTGTAAAAACTTCAAATTTTAGCTATAACAAAATTTGAACCTTGGTCACTTGATTTTAACAATCACAAGTTCGTCAATGAACTACACATATTTGTTTGCTATGAGCATATTTATTTTTAATTTTAAGTACATTTTCACTTTTCTTAATGAGTGACAAGTGTTTATTCATAAATGCTAGAATTAATTATTAAAATTTATATACTAATAAATATTAAGATTAATTATATTGGTTATTTGAAAATTGACATTCACATTTTAGTTTTTTTTTTTTTGTTTTTTTACATTTTAGTTATTCCATCATTTTTCAACGGTTACTAATTGTGTTCTGATATGTTACACTTTATATAAGCCATTAAATTATGGTTTTTTACATTTAAATGACTTATTTACAATCATATAAAACTTGTAAATATTGTTACTAATATATTTTTTAGGATTTATTTGAATTTTCTACTATAATTATGCGTATCTTGATTTTTTGTCCATATCCATACGTATCCAAAGTGTATCCTGATACATCTCTTAAAATTGTCTTTCCGGTACACCTTGCATTTCCGATACTTTAAACCTTGGTTGTAATCCCCAATACAAATAAAGGAATGTAGAGGGGGCATTGGGTCAAATGGTGTCAATTCCTAATGGAGAAAACCCAAGTTGCACATTTCATCAAGGCCCAAATTCTCAAAACAATTGGTGTCAACAAAATTAATGAGTGAGGTCCTCTGTGATGGGAGGAAGCCTAAGAATTTCAATAGTATTAATGGAGAAAACTTGTTGAGTTTGACTATGAACCTCTTCAATGGGATGATGTGTTCCAAAAGGAATTATTCACTAATGCCTTTTGGATTTGGTCCTCACAAGGCCGTCTTCACAGCTACTTGTAGCTATGCAATGAGAATATCTCCCAAAGTATGAAGATATTCCCAATACACAATTTCAAAAAAGCTGTAAGGATGATGTAAGGACAATTTTGTGAGGCCCAATCCGGTCTCTCCAAGTATGCAATGGTGATATTGTGGCAAATGATTATGGGCATCTATGGGAGTGTTTTATAGCATCGCAGGGGGATCATTGTAAGGCAAAGGTATTGAAAAAATTAGAGAACCAGAAGCATGGGATGGGTAAACCAATGACACCCAAATCCAATTTCTTCTTTAGAGAATAAACTTGAAGAATGAGAACTCAAAAAATTTTCAATAAAAGAAATATCAAAAAGTACATCTTAAAGAAGAAAAATCCTAAGTTAACTAAAAAAAACAAACATTATAATAATGTTTCCTCAAGTTTCTACTCTATTGCACTGACAAATCCATCTTTCACCTCATTCATCCACAAAGATGTCTTGTTCCGTATTCTGTATTTTGTGATTTTCTTTGAAAATGTAAATAACAATAAAGAGCAAAATATCTTTTATTAATTATATCAAATAACATTTTGATCTAATTAAGAGGGGGTTTAAGTCCCATCAGAAAATAAAGTGGAGGTGTAAGTTATTTATGAGAAACCTCAATGAATGTTAAAGTTTTTTACCCTTCTTTTTAATGCCCACAAGTTGCATGAATAATATTTAAAGTTAACACATGGATTAATTATAGAGATCAATATACTCAAACATTAAATTATCTAATTAGATTCTTGTTTATAAAAAATTAAGCTTATAATCTAACTTTTGTTTTAACAAAAATAAAGATAAAACAGTATTACTAGGCAGCTGACCATATGACCACTAATAAATAAGCATCCATTGCAATTTGTATTCATACCAATGTCATTTATAAAATGACTTATCCTCAAATATTGGCTGTTGAGGAGTTTGGAGGCACCTAATCAAATAAATTTATTTCAAAATTCATTGTTAAAAAAGCCACTTAACCAAAGAAATTCATTGCCAAAAAATGATATTGCAAATTCTCTAAAGTTGTTCTATGTTTATGACATCGAAGTAACAAGTTACAACTTTTAGTAAGCACACAAGAAAAAATAAAAAATCTTCATTTACCAAAAGGGGAACCGGAAAATTATTAAGCCCTACCCGACAAAATAAAACTATTAAGAAAATTATTAAAAATACGGTTTTAAATAGGACGAATTGGTGAAATAGGATTCATGGAGCCGACCCCATATAGTTGGGATTAAGGCATGGGTGATGATTAGGCAAATTATTAAAATGATAAAAGTTGAAGAGATGGATATCATTAAAGTGGTGTTTGATAACACTTTTCAAAACTTGCTTTTTAGACATTGGATGTGTTTGAACGGTCACGTGCCTAACCTCTTATTAGAGGAAAAATGTCTGAATATGCTTAAACATCATCTCGTGTCTAGCCTATTTTAAATGCATTTCAGAGGTGTTAAACCATTAGTGTTATTTATTTATTAATAATAATAACTAATACTATTATTTAATATTTAATAATAGTAAATTTTTATTTAATAATAACATTTTTATTTAATATTAATTAAATAATAAATAATATTATTAATAATAATAACTATAATATTTTTTAGTATTCTTTTTATTGTTTTTAATATTATCATTCAGTCAATTTCTGGTAAAACAGTAAATTTCACAATTTTAGATGTTGGGGAATTATTCCAACTCAAACAATCTTATGATAGATTTCAGACTTAAATGATAGATTTTTGACTTTCAAACATCAGACTTCAAAATTTCAAACGCCACCTAAATCTTGCAAATATTACCTTTTTACATCAAATGTTTGGGGTCTTTGAAGGTATCAAAAAGTCAAGGTAAAGTTTAATAGATTACTAAAAGGAGTGTTTTACAACCTGAATGGCTTTGTTTTCATTTGTTTTTGAAATTGTAACATTAATTGTATTTTTGTTAGGAACAACCAAACAAGTTGGCTCTATTTCAAAAAAAAACAACCATTAAAATTTAAAACCGTTGAAAACAAAAACGAACAATTCCCATAATCCCCATGGTTGGTTTAAACCAGAAATTCAATAATTCAAGAATATTATTTTGGTTTCAGTTTTCGGAAAAAAAAAACTTTGAGTAAATTATAAATACCCCCTGTATTATGAGATTAATTAGTGTCAAAGACCCCTGTACTTTAATTTGCGACAAAGACTCTCTTAAACTTTTATCGTGTGATAAATACCCATTAAGTAAGATGATAAAATGCACTAAATTACCAAAATACCTACTTTAAATTTTCTTTATTTTCTTTTCATTGCACTTTTCTCTTAAACCCTTATCTAACCTACCTTCATTGTAGAGTGCATTTGATCAAAGTAGAATATGTCAGTGTTCGGATAATATTCCTCCTTGATCATACGATCAAAAACCCTAAAAGCAGAATCTATTTCACAGTTTCTCTAATACACAAGTATTAAAGGCGTGTACATGAAAACATCTGGGCCAAATCACACTGAAAAATCCAATTCAAAATCAACTTGGCTTCTTGGACCTTCCCCTTCTTACACAGTACATTGTGCATTGCATTAAGCGCTAAAAGACTAGGACCCCATTTGGTTCACAGGAATAGGGGTCTGGAATCGGAATCAGAATCGGAATCGGAATGGGTTATTTCCGATTCCAGCTGTTTGGTTGGGCAGAATTGGAAACATTTCGTATTCCCCATTTGAGGGAATGGCTATTCCTTGTCTCTCCTTTAGGAATGAAATCTCATTCATACTGATTCTGATTCCCATTCCCATTCTTACTGAACTAAACAGACTATGAGAATATGCCATTCTGATTCTATTCAGAAAGATTTTGATTTCAATTCCAACTGCAAACCAAATGGATCCTAGATTCTATCCAATTGCTCAACATCTGTTTATACGCATCTTGGGCAGCTCCAACCATGTTAAACTTGTCCACCTGATGAATTAGTAGAGTATTATAGGTATATAGTGTAAACCCGAATCCCTTAACACTGATCTTATTCAGAAAATTAATCACCCTAGCCATCTCTTCCTCAAAAATAGGTAATCAGCCATTGGTGTGGTCCTTAGAATCCATGGCCATTTGGTGGGTGATGTCTTCTCACCATTCAAATAAATAAGAAATGGTATTTTAGGGATTTAAAAAAATAAAAAAAATAAATATTTTTTTAAAGTCAAATGACAAAATGCTAATAAAACTATAAAAGGGATGTTTGTCGCATGGTAAAAGTTTACGGGGTCTTTACATGATTTTTAAAATTGACCCAGAGGCTGAACCAGTCAGGGGTCTGGTTACCAGGTCAAACGGTCAGCCCATTCTGACAAAAATATTAAAAAATTTTAAAAAATAAAAAATGGTCAAAACCATTCGAACGATTAACCAACCAAGTCAGCGGTTTGATGACAAAAATCAACAATTTTTAGAAAAAATCCGATTTTAGGGGAAAACGGAAACCAGCTCCCGGTTTTTCTAATCCAACGGTCTGGTTTTGAAAACCGGGTCTTTATCGCAAATTAGGGAGTATTTGTAATTTGCCCAAAAACACTTCGGTTATCATAACCAAAGCAAGAACATAATTTGGTGTTTTGTTTTGTCGTTTTCAAACCAGCTAGTAGTATTTTGGTTTTAGAATTGGCACAAGAGAAAGTTGAGAAACAGTTGCTGTTGGAAACACCCCCAGAGTGAAGAGGTGTTTCGGATAATAACCCAACAATGAATGCACATTTCATGTGTCAAGAAAGAACGGTTGTTGAATAATTTATTGGGGGTGCTTAGGACTTCAGGTAAACTTGTTACCGACTTACAATCCCATTATTGTAAACTCGGGCTCGGATCGAATGGCGAGACATCCGATTTCGATCTGATTATTAAGCAGATCCCATCATCCTAATTGAAATATCTGAGTTCAATTCATTTATCTGTCTGTACCATCCGAGTCTGAAGTAATCGGATTGGATCTCGGGAGGATCAGCGACGAATGCTCTTGGATTTGGGGAGAAGCAAAAATCTCAGAGTAAAGTAAGCAGTGCTCTTGGATCTGGCTTTAGAGGCGTGAACAAATTGGATTGAAACTCTAGGTTTTAGTTCTATTTCCTCTCGGATTGTGGTTGCAGTCAAAGAAGGAGAATTGGATATTGGTCTCTTGCTTTTGGTAATTCCTGCCTCACTTAACTCCTACTTTTGTTGTTTATTTAGGGTTTAACGGAAAACTTAGAATGTTTGTCTTGATAATTATTTTGTTTTTTCGGTAGTTAAAAGTGTAAAGCGAAGATCATGAACGGTTTTGGATTTAGATTTGGGTTTATGGTTGTATTTGTTTTGGTGGTGGTGGTTTTGGGTGTTTTGCGCTTGAAATCAAGGTGTTAACCATGATAACAGTGGTTGTATTCTGTTCTGGTATTAGATTTTGGTTGTCTGTGTTTCTTCTTGTTGTATCTGTTCTGGCTTTCAATTAGTCGAACCTGTTACTGTTGTCTTACAAGATCAAGCCAAGGCGTCAATCTTGATCCACTCAAGAATCAAGATGCTTGATAATACCTACCGACCTTCGAATTGCATTTCTAAACTCTATGTGTTGCCATTCTCGCAGAAAATCGTTGTTTATACTTTTAGAATAAAATACATTTTATTATTGAAGTGTTATTTTATTACATTAAATGAAACAACTTAGTCAGTTAAGTTATTTAAGTAGTTATGGCTAGAAAACATCATCTACGCCTTATCCAGACTATACATCTACATGAACCCTGATTCACCATCATGTTCTGTTTAGTACTATATCCATTGTTAAATTATGAGTGCTTAAATCATTTCTTACTATTTCAACCCTTTTCCTTTTGGTCTGCCCCTAGCCCTTCTAGCCCCTTCAACTTGTAATAGATCGCCTCTTCTTACAAGTTCTGAAGTGGTCTTCTGTGCACGTGGCTGAACTATCTTAGTATACCTTCTCTCATTTTATTACCTATTGGAGCTATTCCTATTAAAGTGACTTCATTTCTGATCCTATCCATACACCCATCTTAGCTATACACATTTCTACCACATTCATTTTTAGGATATGTTCTTTGATTGCCTAACACTTAACTCCATACTAGTTATGATCAGAAGATTGGCAAAAAAAAATATTATCTTCATTTTAATATAAAAGATATACAAAGACTCAAATCTTATTTATATTTCATATTTTCATACTTTTAAATTAAATTAATACTAAAGTTAACTTTGCTCAAAAAACATTAAACTAATATTAAAAGGCTTATGATTATTAGTATTATATGAAATAGCTATCCAAGTGCTTAGCTCAGGCTTGAACTCTTTAATCTCAAATCAAGTTTAGTTTGGTTTCCTAACTCAAATAAAAGTTCCAACACAAAGGCTCCCAAGACTTTGGGTCCCATGCAAACAAGGACTACATTAATTTAGCTCCCAACCCTTAGATTGGAGAGCTTTTTTCTGATCAATATTAGATTAGAGAGCTTTTATTTCAAACACGTAGCCTTGCACAAGGGGTAAATATATTTTAATTCTAAATAAAAATATGGTTAAAGTATTGTGAGTTCCACTCTAAAATCATATTATTTTCTCAATTCAAATTAAAAAGTTCTTATTCAAGTTAGAAAGTTATCTTATGTCCTAGTTCAAGCAGTTGAGCTCCTTCAGTCCTGTTGAAGGTGGCATTTTTAGCTTGGTCAGCTGCATTCTGTAAATGCCTTTCTGCTGATAACCTTATTAGAAGAGGTATGGTTCTGCACAAACTACAGCGTTTATGTGTGCTATTCACATACAATATAGAAGATTCTAACCTTGGCAACATTGGGTAATGGCCTTTAACTTATAAGTTGGGGACATTAGTTCTGTTATACTGTGGGATGAATGGTTATTTACCAGAATTAGTAGTCTTTATTCCATAGATGGTACTCGAGTGGCCTAAGAAGGAGTAAACTAGTCTCTGGAAAGAGTCCCAGCAATTTTGTGGTCTATTTAGAGTGAAAGAAATGCCCAATTGTTTGGGGAGCAAAGTCAGGAGGAGGTGGTGCTAAGGGGAAAGGTATTCTACCTATCACCAATCTGTCCGATAATAAAAAAAGAAAAAGGCTTTACAGTTCTTTTTTTATGCTGATACTCTTTCAGGGGGTGCTGGGTGATCAAAAACCATTTCAGGGGTGCTTTACAGTTCCTTTTTTATACTGATACTCCTTTTTTGAAGAACATTTCTAGTTAAGATGTACTTTTATTTATTCCCAGTGCCCAGTGCATTGATGTTCATTGGCTGATGTAATTTTTTGGATAGACCATTGTCAAAAACAGTTATAAAAACCTAGCACAATGGTTTTCAATACATTGCATTGATGTGTCACATTCTTTTAGATGTAGTGGGTTGTTCAATTAAAAATCAAACTTTATTTAGTCTCCTAAGTGACATAAAACCTAGCCTAAATTTATCAATTAGCTAGTGGGTGCCAAAGAAGATTGGTAGGCATTGTTCACCAATAATTAGTACAGGTGGTAATTAACCAGTAAAACAACTAAAGCTGTGAGTATAACATATAAATATCCATTGTTTCTCACAACCTATTAGCTCTCATTCTCACCCTTCTTGTGTCTAACGGTCAAAGTAGTTTATTTGTCATGAAAGCTTTGGTATTTCTGATATCTATGCCTCTAACTCCCTTTTTTATTTATTACAAAAAAAAAAACTCACTTGCAAGAGAAGTTCTACAATTATAATTCTTGGAGTGATTTCTAATTGTACAATTAAGGAACAAAAAACGCTGTGAAACATTTCCTACAATTCTAAAACCAAAGGTGACATTTGGGCAGGATTTAACAGGTGCCACATGGACTTTCTAATGGTGAGTGCTACATTAATGTTTCTACTTTAAGGTATAAATCTTTTTTTTTCCCAATAGGTAAATGAATTTTATTAAAATCAGAAAATCATAATACAAACAACCCAGGGAGAGGTGTGAGATTCACCTCATCCAATCAACAAAAAAGAAGCAGAACAATAAATTACAATTGAGCCAGAATAAATGACCCCTATTAACCCCCTGCTTGGCTAGAAAATCAGCCATTCCATTGGCCAATCTCCTCTGCCATTGAAACACCACTGAAAGGTTGGTAATAAAATGAGCCATTTAATCTTCTTAAGCTCATCCCTAAATTCCCATGTAACAGCCTCTGGATTTCGTGGACAGCCCACTGCAACCTTGGAATCTCCTTCCACAATTAATCTGTTAAAATTTAACTCCTTTGCTATCTGTAATCCTTGGACAACTACTGACAGCTCCGGCCTTATTGAATTTCCCACACCTGCTGGTCCAAAAAATAGAGCTACAACCTGTCCGTCTTTGTTCCTAATTACCCCTCCAATCCTGGAAGGGCCTGGGTTAAGTTACTTCCATCAAAGTTGAGCTTTAAGAACTCGTTCACATGAGTTCAAGAAACGACATCCCCCTTCTAGAGGAACTAGCAGCCACCTCACCCCAATTACTCCACAGGTTGTCAAAGGAAAATTGAGAGAGCAAGTCCAGGGTTTTCACCCAATGTATCACCTTTGCCAAAATGCATGCTTTTCAAGGCTCCTACACTCCTTTTTTGATGAATAAAGCATCTACACTCCTTTCCTTCTCTAGAAAAATCCTTGCATTCCATTCTTCCCAAACAGTTCATAGCACTGCTGTCCTTGTGCATTTCCAAAGGATTTCCCCCGCTTCTTGGGCCACTAAAAAGTGTTCTGCTCAAATAAATCTCTCACCTCTGTCAGTATAGTCCACCTGCTTCCAAAGAGACAAAAGAAATAATCCCAAAGGAAAATTGAGAGAGCAAGTCCAAGGTTTTCACCCAATGTATCACCTTTGCCAAAATGCACGCTTTTCAAGGCTCCTAAACTCCTTTTTTTGATGAACAAAGCTTCTACACTCCTTTCCTTCTCTAGAAAAATCCTTGCATTCCATACTTCCCAAACAGTTCATAGCACTGTTGTCCTTGTGCATTTCCAAAGGATTTTCCCCCGCTTCTTGGGCCACTAAAAAGTGTTCTGTTCAAGTAAATCTCTCACCTCTGTCGGTATAGTCCACCTGCTTCCAAAGAGACAAAAGAAATAATCTCAAATTTCTGCAACAAAGGGACAAGAAACTAAGAGATGGAAACAATCCTCTCCATTAGCCTTGCACAAGATGCACCAATTAGGAGACAAGCAAAGATAAGGTATAAATTTTTGATTGCAAGTCTTTAGCTTGAAATAGAGTTGAATGGTAAAAACTAAAGATAGAATGAAATTTCTGTTCCGATCACCCCCCCCCCCCCCCAAAAAAAAAAAAAAAAAGAAAAAAGAAAAAGAACCAAGATTCGAGGGCTCTTTCTCTCAATCACTGTTGCTCTATCATTCTGACAGCTCTTCTTCATTGATAACATATATCTCTGTTATTGATTAAAAAAAAAGCATATGCAAGGGAAAAATTGTATAGTCCAAGGTGACCCAACAATTCTACTTATGGAAATTGTTCTAGCTTTCTAGTTACTCTCCTTTTTTGTTTTACTTACAACCTTTCATATTGGAAATAAAATCCTTAGTTTTTGAACTAAAGTCTTTGTTTTTTGCATAATTGCAATGAGAAGCTCATCATCTAATTGATTTTTGCAAAATAAGTGAAAATTTGACAATATTTTGCCAAAAATTGGAATACTTATACATAACAAATTGAAGTTTTCATTACTTTACCTGCTTCAAAAAGAAAGAAAGAAAAAAAGAAAAAAATTAAAAGTTTCATTGATCTGGAAATTTTTTAAATATCAAGGTTAATATGGAGAGATTTTTGGATTTTTTAGGAGGCTTTTGTTTTGTCCCTTGGGGAAATGGGGGAATTTTTCTGTTTCTTTGAAATTGCTTACCACTTCAAATAATATTCATCTGACATGGTGAGCACAGCTATATTATCTGTTAAATAAGAACTTGAGGCATGGTGAACATATACACTCAAGAGGCAAGCGTCCTTCCTAAAGGACACTTTTCAATTGCACTGTATAGCTATTCTTCTAGTATAGTACATATACGTTTATTACAGTATTGTTAGGTTCATTCATCATCCTTCGTTTGATCTGATATACCAAGTTATATTTGTTGTAGTTACAGTTCATGTAAGGCTGGTAACAGCTGTAGTGACCAATTTGAATGACTAATTGCTTTGTCATTGGTAAATAAGTTATCAAAGAGGTTGAGAGAATCTTAATGGATGAAGCTAAAGTTAGGTTGATAACTAAACCCTCAAATACTTTATTTTTAATTATTTTATCCACTGAAAGAGAAAAAAAGTCATCCAGTTCAGCCAATTACGCCATTACTAAAAGGCTTCTTAGAATTTTATAATGTTTGTGTCACTGAACAGAACAGAATGGTGAAATAGGATTCATGCAGTGGACCCCATATTTTAATGATGTTTATATGTTTCTGTTATTCATGTAAGACCAAATTCAGATGTTTTACTAAGATTTTTTTGTCAGGTTCCATAGATGGATAATAACTAGCAGAAGCAGATCAAGTGTGTGAAATACAATCAATGGCGAGTGAAAGGCCTGGACCCCCCACTTACCTAGGAAAACCTACCATCTCACCATTTCCAGCTGCCCCACAGACAACAATGCCCTTTCTGTCCTCTGGGCCTGTGGTTGGATCAGAGGGCACAGGTTATAGAGCTAACACACCTTCTGGATCTAATGGTCCCCCTATGTCTTCTCCACCATCAACTTATGCCTCACCAAATGTAGGAGTTCATCAACGTTTTCCCAGCCAACAATATCCTGCACCAGTTCAACAGATATCCAATTTACGTGGTCCACCTGCTGGGCAGCCTGTTTTACCCCCACCAGTGCTTCCTTCAGCACAGCAAGTTCTACCTCCACCTGGTTCCTTTCGTCCACAGCCTCAGATTCCATCAATGCCTATGGGATCTCCACCTCAAAGTGCCAATCTTCAGCCACCAAGAGGGATTGTTCCCAGTTCACCTTTAGAATCATCATTTTCTGCCCCCAGGTCAGCATTGCAGTCATCTTTGCATGGATATCCAAGTAATCAAGCTAACCTGGTTTCACAAGTTCCACCTATGCAGTCTCCCTCCTTTCTTGCTCCCCAAGGAGGTTATGTACCACCCCCACCCCTAGCAGCTCCTGTGGGTCTGAGTTCAAGGGAACAAATGCAGCATCCTGGTGTGGGACCTCCTGTTGGTGCCATGCAAAATTTGGTAGAGGAGTTTCAGTCTCTATCAGTTGGGTCAGTTCCAGGGTCGATTGATCCTGGACTTGATCCCAAAGCATTGCCAAGGCCTTTTGAAGGTGATCTTATGCCAAATTCCATTGCCAAAATGTATCCCTTGAATTGCCATTCCAGATATTTACGGCTTACAACAAATGCAATACCAAACTCCCAGTCATTGCTTTCAAGATGGCATTTTCCTCTTGCAGCAGTCATCCATCCTCTTGCTGAAGCACCTGATGGGGTCAGTATTTCTACTGCTCAGTATAGCTAGTTCTATCTGTTTAAATGTCCTATGTATTGCAGTGCTTTCAAAATTGATATATTCACTGGTCAACTGTTTTTTTATCTTTGTCCAGGAGGAAGTGCCTATTGTTAATTTTGGACCAACTGGCATTATTCGGTGTAGAAGATGTCGCACTTATGTTAATCCTTATATTACATTTACTGATGGAGGAAGAAAGTGGCGCTGCAACATCTGTTCTCTGCTTAATGATGGTAAATTTCAAACTAATTCTCTCTCTCTCTCTCTCTCTCTTTAATGCAAGAAAGAGTTCAACTATTCACCGATATTTGGAATTTTGGACAAGCTAGTGGCTAGAAGCATAATGCACCCAGACTGAATAAGGTATATGTTGTGGTAGTTTATGACTCGATCATCTGGTTGTCAAGCTAAAAAATAAAGAAAAAAAATCTGGTGTTCAAGCTAGAATAAAACTACCACTATGTAGAAGTCTGAGTATCATTTTGAATGGTTTATGATTCAAAGTTTTTCTTCATTTTCAGGTAGCATATCATGTCCATCTATAATCTTGTTATCATACATTACACTTCATGTATTCCAAAATAAGTTAGTGATTCCTACATATAGAAAATAGTCACTTGAGTTCATTGATGTCAAATTTTAATCTCTCTCTCTCTCTATCTATCACTGGAATGTATTAATGTCGTTCCCATCTAAAAAGGCCCTAGGCTGGAGGTGTAAATTGGGTCATGCTGGGCCAGCACGGCACGGCTCGCATGCGTCCCATGCAAAGTGCGGGCTGTGCCGTGCTGGCCCATGGACTGAGTTGGGCCATTCTTCTCTCCACTGGGATATTTTGGGGGGTTGGCCCGACACAACCCAAGCTTGTGTGGGCCCGTGCTGTGCCACGGGCTGGGCTGGTTTGTGAGTCGAGCATTGGGCCAGGCTGGACCATAGACTGGGCCAAGCCATGCTTTTTAAATTTTTGAAAAAATAATGAAAATCTTAACATAAATTAAAAAATATATATAAAAAATTAAAAAAGATCTTAAAATTTTAATTTATATGAATTTTGATGTATACAATTGCTTATATATGCTATAAAATGAAATAATATAATACAATTGAAAATAAACACCACGGACTGCAGGTGTCATGGGCTGCTTGGTCGTGCCGTGCCGTGCTGGCCCATGGACCTGAAATCCTAGGCTTGGCACGACCCATATGATTGTGCTGTGCCTGGCACGGCACGCAATCCGTTGTGCTGGGCCATGCCTCGCTGGCTCAAAATCGTGCTAGGCCATGGGCGGCACGGTCTGATTTACACCTCTACCATAGACCACAAGCCTTCTCTTCCAGACAAGTGGCATCGTATTCTTTTATGAAAGAGTATTAAAAGGGTGGTTATTTCCACTCTCAAATAGAAGCATTTTTTTTTGATAAGTAAAAGAAAAAAAATATTAAAATTGAAAAAAGGAGGAAAGTACAATACAGCCCAACTAAAGACGGGAGTGAGAAATTCCCTCCTACTATAAGGACTAGAACAAAAACACCCAAGGACAGAAAGCAAAAACCCACTAAACAACCTTAACTCTCCACCTCCCACTTACCACAACCAAGCAAAGAAAAACTAAGTCTAGCCTGACCTTCTTCCTCTACCTACTCTCCCTCTTCCTTTGATAGCCTTTGCTCTCCTCAAATCTAAACTAACTGAAGTGTCCACATTAAAAATCCACTAACCATCTCAGCTTCCTACTTCCTGGTAAACCTCCAAACTTGAAGATTTCATCAGCCTCCTTGAGAGATGTGTTGCTCTCAACCGAAGTGTTCACATAGAAGCATTCTTTTTCAGATATGTGTCTACCCACTCTCAAAAAAAAAGCATGAGCTTCAAATGGTAGTTACCTCCACTAAAAGGGGACAAATAAGAAACTAGTTCAAATGATGTTGGATCCATAAAGTGGGTTATTGATTACAAATAAAACCTGTTTTGTTTTTTTTTTTTAAATTAAATAAACAAATCTATATGACAAAAAATATCAAATAAAAAAATAAATTGATAATATAAATAATGAGTGCCAAACAAAAATTATCAAAATACAGGCCCCATACTTAGTACGGGGTGGCCATGTTCTTATTTTCTAATGCAATCTAGGTAGATATGATTGAACCTAGTAGATCAGATGTCAGTGTGTCAAATATCTTATTTTGCTGACACAAAAGCTAATATATCTTGATTACCATTTTCAGTTCCTGGTGAATATTTTGCACACTTGGATGCGACTGGTAGAAGAATTGACAATGATCAAAGGCCTGAACTTACAAAGGGTAGTGTAGAGTTTGTTGCTCCAACAGAATATATGGTGCGGCCTCCAATGCCGCCACTATATTTTTTTCTCATTGATGTATCAGTATCTGCTGTTAGAAGTGGTATGCTTGAGGTAACAACTTGAACACAGGAGTAATATTTAGATTTGCTTGAAAACTCATTTTTCTTGCTATTTGCAGACTATACACTTGTGTTATTTGGAGTGAGCTAATGCATGCTATATTATCTTTGACCATTGCTGTTTTGTTTATGAATGTTTTATCCGTTAAGAAATAATGTTTAGGGCAAATCTCTTGGGTGGGCAGATTGGTAAATGTCTTAGCTGATCATCTAGCTAAACGAGGGGCCTCAAGGGAACAATTTATATTGGGCTTCTTTGTAATTTCTTTTGTCTTTGCTTTGATGTAATTTTCATTTCTTAGGAGAGGTCTCACTTCATGCTTCTCCAAGGGCTGCTTGTAATAATTTCACTGATTGATAATAAAATTCTTTTCATCTATCAAAAAACAAATCTCTTAAAGTACCCTTAAGTTTTAGGAAATTGACTAACTCTACCCCTACTGTTCAGAAATTGTCTTGAAGTACCCCTATGTTTTCTGACAATTGACTAAATCCTCCCTTGTCATTAGTGTTTGTTAACGGAAAGATGGGAAAGACTATTTTATCCACCATTCTTTAAAATTTCCAAATGAAACATTTGAATAAAACCTTGATGGTCTTCTCCATCTTCTCAAAGGAGAAAATACCGAAAACCAGAAAAACCTCCACACTTTTGGCAAGCCATCCACCCTTCTGTCAACACACAACAATCGGGTATGACCCCTCTCTGATCCCATTTTCCCTATAACAAACTTTATTGAGATGGAGAAGAGCAATCAACCTGTAACCTATTTTTTACCACTAATGTCAACTCTCTCAAACTTCTAAACATCAAAAACTTGTAAAGTGGAGTCCTAGAGAGCATCACAGGAGGACTGCCCAATCTATCTTTGACCTCCATTATACAAGAGAAGGGTAAGTGCCATAGAGGTAGATGGAGATTCCGTAACACAAATATTTGTTCTATATGTCACGTGGTGTCACATGTGAATGGATTGTGATGGAACCGCTAACGAACGCTAATGGTAGGGGAGGATTTAGTCAATTGTCAGAGAACTTGGGGGTACTTTTAAGACTCCACTTCATAAAACTTAGGGGTAGAGTTAGTCAACTTCATAAAACTTAGGGGTACTTAAGAGACTTTCCCTAATGTTTATCATGTTTTGCATGCACTTTATTTGTTTTGGAAGTCTAGACTGTTATGTATTTTTCTTTCTTAGTCATGAATGGGACTATTGTGCTTGGAGTTTAGTTGGTTAGAAAAGTGGTGCAAGTGTCCACTCATTTTTCTTTTAAATTTAGAGGGTATTATAGTCAGTTTTTTCTTGTTACTTAAGTGTGGGCATTATTTGTAATCTCACATCATTTAAGAGTTCAACATAAATAGATATCTGGTGAATTGGCTCAAGCAAAGTATTGGCTATGTCCTCAGGACCTTTACTCCTTTAGGGGAAGGTGATTCTTTAAAAGCTGAACTATTAGCTCCGCTACAAGGGTTAAAAATTGCCAAGCAAGCAGATCTTAAGAACTTGGAGATAGAAGGGGACTCAAAAAATGGTTGATTCTAGCTAAGCAGGGAATTCAAAGGCAACAACTTTTTTGGGCTTTATTGTAGCTATTTCTGGTGCAATGTCTTCTTCTAGCTGCTGTAATTCTGTATTTATTTTTCTTGATTGAATAAAATTCTCATTTTGCTGATCAAAAAGAAAAAAAAAAGATATCTGGCCAATTGGGATCATAGAACTTTCTCTCCATTTGATAGCCCCTTTTCTTCTTTAAATGTTACTAACTTCTGTTTTCTCTCCCCACCAAAATCAGATCAAATTGATGGTTTCAAAGTGAGAAAAGGTATCTGATTATAGTGTCTGGTTTCTGTATCTATTTTCATGCTTTCCCCTTCTTTTTTCTTGAAGAGATGCTAAAGAAGTAGAGAGGCTGTCATTGAAATCATTATGGTGAGAGTGGTTCAGTGGGTATGATGATATTTGCTGATTTCTCAATAGGTGATGTCATGAACAAATGGAAGGAAGTGGCTAGTTCTGATTGTCATAGGGGAGATAAAGTCAACCCTGACAAAAGAAGGATCAGGGGTTAGAGCAGGGTCATGGGATAAGAAGGAAGAGGGAGATCAAGTTGCTGAGAGTAGCCTTACTTTGTGTCAACAAGGTGACAAGGAGGGGGAGAAAATGGAGAGTAAGACCAATGATTTAAAAGGCGTGCCTAGGTGCACAGGCAAGGCGCATTTTAGGGTATGTGCCTCACCTAGGTCCTAGGCGCAACCCTTTCAAAAGGTGCATGCCTGGTGCACCTGATGCACCTTGTGCATCAGCCCAGGCATGCACCTTTTGAAAATTGGTGCTTTTTTTTTGCTTTTTTTGAAACTAGCGGTTGGGCTAGGGGCTCCACCCCTGGACCCTATGCCACGCCCCTCGAGCCAAGCTCAAACAAGTCTGTGTTAGGGTCTTAAATTCTTAGTTCTCACACAAAAATAATGATTTTAAAAAGCAATTAAACTTATAAAATCATTATTTTTGTGTGGGAACTAAGAATTTAAGACCTTAACATGGACTTGTTTGGGCTTGCCTCGAGGGGCATGGAACAAAGCGGCTCATAGAATCAATAATATAATATGTTTTACATCACATTAGCTACTTAAAGTAATGCAATTGAAGAAAATGTTTTATATGTTTGATTTTATTTTTAAATTCTCATTTAAATACGCTTTACATGTTATGTTTATGTATTTTAATTTTAGATAATATATTTTTTAAAACATTTATTTTAAAATTTAAGTTTATATTTTGTATTAATATTATGCTTAATATTTTTTGATTTTTTACATTTATTGAATTTTTTGGCCTTTTTTTATTTTTCTAACATTTTTTTTTTATTTTTTATCATTTTTTTTATTTTCACGCTTTGCTTCAAAAAGGCATGCGCCTCGCCTTGCTTCTTGGGCGCAAATTGGACCCTGCTCTTTGCGCTTTTAAAACACTGATTAAGACCTTGGTGGATAGGGAGGTTAGAATTGGCAAGAGTTAAGGAAGATGATGCAATGGAAAGGAGAAAAAGTTTGGGATGAGGAAGATGATGGGCAGGATGAGTCGTTTGATCCTGATGACTAGCCAATGTGTGAAGAGGGGGGGTCCCAGTCTTTTTGTTAGTTTTGCGTCTTTGAAAGCCTTTCTGTAGGGGGGGGGGGTCTCAGTCTTTCTTTGGTTACTCTTGTTTATTGTAAGTCTTGCTGTTGTTGGTAGTGGGTTCGGGTGTTATCTTAACACCCTTGTCAGTGCTATAATCTGCTTCTTGTCAGTGCTATAATCATTTTTTTATGTGAGAATTAAGAATTTAAGACCCTAACATGGACTTGTTTGGGCTTGCCTCGAGGGGCATGGTACAAAAGTGGCTTGTAGAATTAGGAATGCAATACATTACATTAGCTACTTGAAATAATGCAACTGAGGAAAAAAGAGATTGTGGCTTTTACATGCTTGAAAATACTTATATGTTTGATTTTAGTTTTTATATTTTCATTTGAATATGCTTTACATGTTACATTTATGTATTTAAATTTTAGATAATAGGTTTTTAGAACATTTATTTTAAAATTGAATTTTATATTTTTTTAATAATATTATGTTCAATATATTTTTATTTTTTTAGCTTTTTTTTTTTTGTATTTTTGTGCCTTGCTTTGCGCATGCCTTGCCTTGCGCCTTGCATTTTGGGCACAAATTGACCCTTGCGCTTTTTTTGCACCTAGCACTTTTAAAACACTGATGTGAAGGCAATTTTAAGATGGTTTGATGCGGTAACTGGCTTACTCATCAATATTCAAATGAGTGAAATAATGGCTGTTGGGAAGTGTCAAATCTGGAAAGATGGGTAGATGCAGACTGGGTAAGCTCCATCAAAATACCTCAGTATGCCTTTGGGTGAAAATTGTAGATCTAGATCCATTTGGGAGCCCATAATTGAGAAAGTTGATAGAAAGATGGCTTCTTGAAAGACCAAATATTTGTCAAAAGGGGGTAAAGTCACCTTAATCAAGAGTGTTTTATCCCCCTTCCCTGTATACTACCTGTCTTTGTTCCCAATTCCAGCTAGATGGGCTGAAGTGTTAGAAAAAAAGATGATAGATTTCGTATTGGAGGGGATGGAAGGAGGAATCAAAATGTCATCTGTTGAGCTGGAAGAAAATCTGTAGTTCCAGACTCTCTAGTCTGGTGAACTGGAACTTCTAGCTGCTATCCAGGGAGTACAACTATCAGTGCAGATAGGTGTGGAATAGTTGCTAATAGAAGAGGACTCCAAGGTAGTAGTGGATTGGCTACAAAACCCGGACTCTATAGTTTGGTGCTTTAAGAATGAAATTAAAAAAAATTGAATTGGATGACAAGGAGTTTGACAATGGGTGGGGAGATCGACAAACATTATGGCTGATGATCTTGCAAAGCAAGGGGTAAACAGGGAAAGATTGTATTGGGCTCAACTGTAGACTAAATCTGTTTTCTATCTTTTGCTTTATTCGTGCTGTTAGTAGAGGATGCAGCTTGGGCCTCTCCATGGTGAGCTTGTAACTGCATTATTCTTCTATTAATGAAATCTTATTTTATTTATCAAAAAAGAAAATCTGCAGTCCCAGGGCCAAGGGGGGTCTAGGGATAAGATCAGTGAAAGATGTCAACACAGCCTTGATAGGGAAATGGCTATGGAGATACAATAAACATGCGGATAGTCTGTGGAGAAGATTAGTTGTGTCCAAGTATGGCTCCAATAGCGGGAAGTGGGAGACAGAAGAGGTATGATCCTCCTATGGGTGTTCAGTTTGGAAGGCAATTCAGAAAATCCATCCACAGTTTTTGAAGGCCATAAAATATGAAGTAGGAAATGGTCATAGGGTATTTTTTGGAAGGACTACTGGTGTGGAGATGCCCCCTAGTGACCTTATTCCCTGATCTGTTCGAGATTGCTGTAAACTAGGATGCAACAGTGGCTGATTACTTGGAGAGGCAAAATGGACATTGTATTTGGAACCCTCATTTCAGGAGGGAATTTCAATGATTGGGAGGTGAATTCTTTGATCAATTTTCCACAGATTCTGTATGACTCCAAGATATCTGGAATAGGGGAGGACAAAAGGAAATGGCTTTTTGAGAAGTCGGGTCCCTTCTCAATGAAATCCTTTTTTAACTGCTTGTCAAAGAAGGATGCCTTGCACTTTCCAGGTGACAGGATTTGGATCAGGTCTGTACCATCAATGCTGGATTTTTTTGTTTGGTAACAAGATCCCAACTAGCATAAAGGTAGCGGATTTGGCTTGCACATTATGTAATGGAAGTGTGGAGACTTCTAGCCATATGTTATTACATAGGGACTTTACTTGTTGGGTTTGGGTAAATTTGTTGGACTTATTTGGAGTCAAAATGTGCTTCCTGGCACCAGGGTTGGGAGGTTAAGGGAGGGGGATGGGCTATCCCCCCTGTTATGTTGCCCATGAATAAGATGCCATGGCACAATTCTAGAAGATTCTCTTTATAAATATAACATATGAATAAGATGAACCTAAGGAACTTGGGGGGATCCAAGACCTAAGACCTGACTCATTCTCTTTCTCTCTCTCTGAGAGGCTTTCCCTACCTATTTCTCCACTACCAAAGGAACTTCGGTGGCCTAATCCTTGTCCACAGGGTATGTAGTGCAGCCCCTCTGGGGTCCAGCCACTTCCCTTTTCTCTAACCCAATTCTCCTTAGACATTCAGAGCCAATCATTGCTACCAAATGCATGGTCTTCCAAGAAGCTTGTATTTGATGAAGGGGAATTAGTTGATGATCTGAGCCACTACCATAGATAGGTTAGGAAATTAAATTATTTGATTATCACTCACCTTGATATGCCATTTGTCGTTAATGTTATTAGTGAGTTTTTGGATTCTCCTAGGTTTCTTACCTAGATGCTTTGTTTAATATCTCTCTATGCCTTGGGAATATATGCAAGGTTCATGGCATAGTTGTCAAGGTGACTAGGCGATTTTTAGAAGTCGCCTTGCCCAATGCCAAGGAGTTTTTGTGTTAGGCGCTCACCCATATATATATATATTTTTTTTGAATGTGCATATGTATTATATCATTTTATTGGTTTATTTTATTTTATTAGAATACACCCTGTTGTATGTTACCATTTTTTATTAAAGTAATTCTCTTTTACATTAAAACTACGAAAGTTTCTTTGGGTTTGAGACTTTGAGTTTTGAACTGAGAGCTGAGAAGAGAAAGCGAGGACTGAGAATTTTCCATTGTTCAGTCCAAGTAGTCCAAGACCTCCATTGTTCAGTCCAAGAAGTTTCCAGAGTTTCTTCTTCTTCTTCTTCTTCTTCTTCTTCTTCTTCTTCTTCTTCTTTTTCTTCCTAAAATCACATTGGTACTCCTTCTTTCTTACTTTTAACAATCCTCCTCCATTTTTTTAGCCTGAAACAGGGTCTCCACCCCCTTAAACATAGTCCGTATCGTCCTCTTGGACAACTTATGTTGGGAATGAAACAGGGGCTTCGCCCCCTTATTTTTCTCTATTTTTTTAGCTGCACTCCCCCATTTTTGTTGGCTTGTATGCTAGCTATGGCATTTTATGTTTTATTCGAATGATTTTATTGCTAATAGCTAGCATACATGTATGTTGGTTAGTATAAAAAACCAATAAAGCAGCTTAAGAGGGGTAGAAATATTTATTTTGTACTTAATTCCATCGCCTAGGTGCCCGCCTAGTCGCCTAGGCGACTGAGAGCCTTGTGGTCGCCTAGGCTCACCTAGGCACCTTGACAACTATGGTTCATGGTCATTTGACTGACTATATTTGGTTACATCAATGCAAATTGTGCTGGCTTACCTTTGGGCCCTTGATCTACTCTAGTTTATTGTACATTCTTTGGTGGCAATTTGCTTTCCTGGAAAAATAAGAAGCAAAGTATAGTTGCAAAGTTCAAATCAAAATTGATTTCTGAACATTGAGTCATGTTACAGTTTATTGTACATTCTTTGGTGGCAATTTGCTTTCCTGGAAGGATAAGAAGCAAAGTATAGTTGCAAAGTTCAAATCAAAATTGATTTCTGAACATTGAGTCATGTTATAGGTAACCTTATATTTCTGAGGGATTTACTTCAAAAGATGGGATTTCTAGTATCTCTTTTTATGCCTATGCATGCCTCCCATAGCCTACTTAGGCTATGTCTGTTTTCCTGATATGAATGGACATTTTACCTTGTAGAGATGGGGAAATTTGGATCTATTTAGCTAATTTTGCTAAGATATTGGGAAATTAAAAAAAATTAAAGATTTCTATCAGAAACACGAAATTACTTAATAAACTTTCAAGAGTATAATTACACATATAAAGCTCAAAAATCATAGCAAAGAACTGTATAATCAAATAGGAAAAATTAAGATACTTTACTAGGTATATTTCTCTTTCTCTTCTAGTCTTTTAGCCATCTTCTTTTCATTAAATATGCCATTTACTTGCCATTTTGATTTTTGTCTTTTTTTTGTTACTATATGTTTTAATTAGATTGAGAATTCTCTTTTTTGATTGTATGCATTTTCCTTTTTCTTTTGAACCATAGACTTATATTGATTTAGTAATCATATCAAAATTTTAATCCAATTATCCAATCATCAATTCTGCATTGGTTCATTTATCAAAAAAAAAAATTCTGCATTGGTTCTCGTATGAAAAGACTTAAAAAATTATAATGATTTTAATGAAATTTTGGCCCTCGGAGAGAGAGGCTTATGACACAAAGTGGTGGAAAGTATTCATGACTGTTCAGAGAATGGATGGGATGCTGGTGGCGTGCTAATTTGGTAACACTTTGGAAGGCCATTCATAGTATTCTTCCTTGGTTTCTCAAGTATGTCAGGTATGGTGTTTGTTTTGGAACTTTATTCAGTTCTGGGAGGATATTTGGGTCGGAGATACTCCATAAAGGATCTTTTTCCTTATTCTTTATCTTTTTGTATAAAAAAGAGGTTGCCTCAAAATTTCTCCCCTTTGGAAACTCCTTTGGCTTCGAATTGGGACTTTGACTTCTGTAAGTGGAGTTAAGGGATGGGGAAATTGAATGCCTACCTAATTTGCTTTGTATCCTCAATAAGGTTTGCTAGGATCCTTCTAAGCCAGGCAAAAGGGTTTGGGTTCCTAGGTCCAAAGGGACTTTATCTTGTGCTTCGTTTTTAAAGTCTCTTTTCCAGTGTTCCTGTCGACAGGTTTTCCCTTCTAAGGAAGTTTGGTGCTAACTGGCTCCCCCTAAGATTATGGATTTTTTGTTGGTAAGTGTTCCATGGGAAAGTAAACAATTCAACTAACCTACAAAAGAAAAGACCTTTCCTTTGTATTTAACCTAACTGGTGTATACTTTGCAGATCTCATGGTGAGGATTGTTACCACTTAATAATTTCTTGTTCTTTTACTGCAAAGTTATGGGAGGCTCTTTTCGATGTTTGGGTGCAGGTGGAATTCGCCAGCAGAAGTAATCATGACCGTTAACCCTTATACCTTCACTTGGCCTAAAATAGAGGAAGAATTATGTGGAGATGTGCCAGAGCAGCTTTGATTTGGACAATATGAGAAGAGAAGAATGCTAGATTCTTCCAAGAGGAAAGGAGCAGCTAATATTTGAAGGAATGTGTGTTGAATAGGGCAATACATTGGTTAAAGACTTTGGAACTTTTCCACCAATTCTCCTTTAATGATTTATGGAGGAATTGGTTAACAGTAGCCAAAGTGCTCCGCCATTAAGAATAGGGTAGCTACAAGGTGGGCTCCCCCTTCTAAAGGTTCATTGAAGCTGAATTTTAATGGGATCAGTCAAGGCAACCCAGGGCTCTATCAAATGGGAAGGTCTTCGAGAATGAGTTTGGAGAGGTTGTATTTCTTTACTTGGGCTCATTGGGATTTGTGCATGTTAGGGCAAAACTACTAGTTTCCTTACAAGGAATGCAATTTGCAAATCAATTGGGTGTGGTTCAACTATTAATTGAAGGGGATCCCAAGGTGGTGGTGGGGTGGTTGAAGAACTCTGAGGATGCTGTGTGATGCTATAAGAATGAAATTAAGAAATTTAAGTGGCTAATGAGGAATATGTCTATAACAATACAGTGGGTGAGGAGATCAGCAAATGTTTTGGATGATGGCTCAGCCAAGCAAGGGGCAAATAGAGAAGCTATGTTTTGAGCTTAGCTGTAATGTGTTTTTAGCCTCTATGTATCCAGTTTTTACTTTCTTTATAATCTGTTGGGAGAGGCTGCATCTTGCACCTCTTATAGGGCTGTTGTATCAGTTTCAAGTTCTGAATTTATAATTTTTTTACTAAAAATATATACAGTTTATGAATGAAATCTGAAATATTGCTGATATATTGGCAAAATATTGGAGATATTTGGAAAAAAAGATTCCCAAAAGATTTTGTATCACCAGCTTTTAAAATTGGGAATATTTTTGACTTCGAACATTCATTTTTCAGGTTGTGGCAAAGACCATCAAGTCTTCTTTGGATGAACTGCCTGGATTCCCCAGAACACAGATTGGATTCTTGACTTTTGACAGCACATTGCATTTCTATAATATGAAGGCAAGTGATTTTGTTTTAATTTTTTTCTGGAACTGATTACTTTGGAGCATTGTTTAGTTAGTCTTGCAAGTATTGATTATTGAAATATGTAGGGCCTGTTAATCCATTTTCATGGTTAATTTGGGTGCACAAATGTTTATGTATCAGCTTCTTGATGATGCATGCTCAGGTGTATGATTGAGCAGATCACACTACAGAAAAATTTTGGTGGGGTGTGACTTGAAGGTGTTGTTAGGTTGGTTCAAACACATTGGGAGTTTGGAAATAAGATACACTATGAGGGAAGTTAGAAATTGGTTGCTATATTAAGAATGACCTTTATTTGATGATTTTGATTGCTTAGGTCTGTCAAAAGCATGACATGTATTGGCAACCAAGGTAGGAGATGAATATGGAAAAACTATTTTTGGGGTGGTCCCTTGAGGAACTAATTGTGTCAAAAAAGTGATATATAGTTTGCAGCATAGGTCCTAGGGATGAACTCATCAAAAGGATTGCTTGGAACAATCATTTTTGTACATCATTCCTTTTAACATAATAAGTAATTAAATTCTTGTTTGTTACTGATAAAAAAAATGCTAAGTTGAAGCCCACATTAACGTGTGTTTTTGCCTAGTCCAGTCATCTTTGTCGCAGCCTCAGATGATGGTGGTGTCAGATTTGGATGATATATTTGTACCATTGCCAGATGATCTTCTTGTCAACTTATCTGAATCAAGACATGTGGTGGATGCCTTTCTAGATAGCTTGCCATCCATGTTTCAGGAAAATTTAAATGTGGAATCTGCTTTTGGTCCAGCTCTTAAAGCAGCCTTCATGGTTATGGTACAGTACCTTATGAACACATGTTTTATTCCAAATGTTTTATCTTCTATCTATGACTAGTATCTATCTTGACCTTTGGAGGACATTATGATCATTGAATGACCTAACATCAATTTGCACTGCACTTTCACAACAGAGTCAACTTGGGGGGAAATTGTTGATCTTTCAGAGTACACTACCATCTCTTGGTATTGGCCGCTTAAAGTTACGTGGAGATGATCCTCGTGCATATGGAACAGATAAAGAACATGCATTAAGAATTCCAGAAGATCCTCTCTATAAGCAAATGGCCGCTGATTTTTCAAAGTATCAGATAGGAGTAAATGTCTATGCTTTCAGTGATAAGTACACTGATATAGCTTCCCTAGGTGCATATTATATTGATATTGAGTAATTTAAAATGCATGTTTGTTTATGTTTTCAAGATATATATTTTTTGGTTACAGGAACTCTAGCAAAATATACTGGTGGCCAGGTGTGCTATTATCCAGGTTTCCAATCGAGCATTCATGGTGAGAAGTTAAAATATGAGCTGGCAAGGGACCTTACAAGGGAGACTGCCTGGGAAGCTGTAATGCGCATAAGATGTGGAAAAGGTATTCCATTGCTACTCTGCCTCTTGCGAGCTTGTAGTCTAGCTTTATTTAGCAGAGTAAACTGTTGGTTAGCATTTCTATAATGAAAGATACATCTTTCTTGCTTATCAGGGGTGCGATTTACCACTTATCATGGACACTTCATGCTAAGGTCCACAGATTTATTGGCACTTCCGGCTGTAGACTGTGATAAAGCCTTTGCAATGCAGTTGTCTCTGGAAGATACATTACTGACAACTCAGACCGTGTATTTCCAAGTTGCTCTTCTGTATCCTTCAATTCTTTAATTAACTAGCTTCCACCATAGACAGTGTATACATGTATTAGATATAAAATCCAGTTTGTTAATGATTACCCATAATGTGTTGTTTTCTCATACAGCTAAGTACTATCTTGAAAAAAAAACCTAGAATGTATGTCTTGGCTATTAATTTGATTGTGATCTATGAATTTCTTATCCATGTATGGAATATCCCATGTTGTGCTATAAATTTATGCATCTGGAATATTCATTAAAGTGGTAGTACTTGGTTTCTTATTAAGCATTTTTATTTCTTATTTGGTCATCTACTGTTGGAAATATTTATCTAGCAGTGAAGTGAGATGTATTTAGTGATCAAGTCCAGAATGATGTTATTAGAGTGGAAAAGATACTAGTGGTTGGAGCTTCCTTAATTTGCAACAGATACACATCATCTTCTGGTGAAAGACGTATCAGAGTCCACACAGCAGCAGCACCTGTGGTAACAGATCTTGGAGAGATGTATCGCCAGGCTGATACTGGTGCCATAGTTTCTTTGTTTAGTAGGCTAGGTAAGATCCATTGAAGCCATTTGAGCTTTTTTTTTTGGTTTGTTGATTTGTAACGTATCAAAGAACTTCACAGATAGTAATTAGTAGAGTAGTTCACTTAAACTTCCACAAAACTGTCTATTTTTTGATAAGTAAAGTTCACTTTTATTATCAATAAAAGTAAGCATTACAAGCAACCCATAAGTGGCATGAGGTGCTACAAGAAAGAAAAATCATTACATTTTAACCCAATACAAGAAATCCCTACTCACCCCTTGCTTAGCTGAAGTGTCCCACCACCACATTAGCCAATCTCCTCACCCATTGTATCATTAAATTCATACTTCTAGTGATCCATTTAGACTTTTTCATCTCATCACTAAAATACCATATTATGGATTCTAGTTCCTTAAACCACCCCACTACCAGTTTTGACTCCCCTTCTATAACCACATCTAGCATATTCAAAATTCAAATCGTGTTCTTAGACCCAGCTAAGGAAGACTCCAGAATTTGGACCCCCACCCCTACTGGTTCCTTCTCCTGTGCCTTCTTCTTTAAAGTGTTAAGCCAGTCCACCAATCCTGTAACCCCCCCCTTCCCTGTTAATGAGGTTTGGTGCATACCAATTCCTCTTAGGGTTGGTAGTTTTTGCTGGGAAGCATTTCTGGAAAGAATCAACACTGGTGATCTGCTCCAAAAGAAGAGACCCAATTCTTGTTTGTCCCCTCATTGGTGTGTTCTCTGTAAGGCTGATGGGGAGACCGGTTTCCATCTACTGGTGTCTCTCTGTTTGGGTGTATTTGGAATCCTTCATCAAATATGCAAAGTCTTTTTGCTCCTTTTTTCAGTTGGCGTATGAAAAGGGAAAGGACTATGTGGCAAGGACTGAGGGCAGCAGTCTGCTGGTCTTTATGGGAAGAAAAAAACTTCAGAATCTTCTCTGAAGAAGAAAGAAGTGCTGAAGATCTAAGGGCCCTGATCTATATAAGGGCTGTACAGTGGATGAAATCCTTAGAGTGGATGACATGCTGAGGAAGTGGGTTGAGATTGCTAGCTGTACCCAGACTAAAGCAGTAATGAGTCTGTCTTGGACTCCCCCACCTGCAAGCTTCATAAAACTAAACTTTGATGGAAGTAGCAAAGGGGACCCTGGACAATCAGGGATTGGGAGTGTTTTTGGGGATGAGAAAGGGGTTGTTTTTGCCATGTTCTCAGGCCCCATTGGAGTGGGTGACTCCCTTAGAGTTGAGATCCATGCAGTCTTGGAAAGAGTCCAGAAAGCTAGGGAGATGAATCTCAGAAAACTCATAATTGAAGGGGACTCGGAGGTGGTGGTATGGTGGCTGAAGAAAGACGGTAGTGGTTTATGGAGATATAGCAATATGAGAAGGAAATTCATATGGCTGGTTCGAGAAATGGAAGTTAAAATCAGTTGGGTAAAAGGATCAGCTAATTCTTTTGCTGATGGGTTAGCTAAACAAGGGGTGGATAGGGAGTCGATGTTCTGGGCACAGTTGTAATTTAAATCTGGTTTTTTTCCTTTTTCCTTTTCTCTTTCTCTCTTGTTCATTTCTTGGGGCTTAAGTTGAAGTTGGAAGATAAGAAAGTTTGTCTTCCTTTTTGTAATTCTAATTGTTGATAATTAATGAACTGTGTTATTGATCAAAAAAATATTCAAAATTCAAATCACTTGCAATTTTGACTCCTTGTAGTACAGCAAGTAATTCAGCTCTAGTCAAATCTCCCATTCCCATTGATCCTAAGAACAAAGCAACATGTCCTGTGTTTCTCAACACCCCTCCTATTCCAAAGGGGCCTAGGTTACCTTGACTGCTTCCAGCAAAATTCAGCTTGGCAAATCCATCAAGAAGGGGTTGCCAAGCCTGCTGCACCTTTTCCTTCTTAGAGGATCTACTAGCCACTACCTTCCAGTTTCTTCATATTATCATTGAATGAGAACTGCAAGAACTTGTCCAAGGTTCTAATCCAATGTATCACCTTGGCCATCACACAATCTCTTATCTCTTCTTTGCTTCTCTCCCTTTCTGTGAAAATTCTTGCATTTTCTCTCTTCCCAAATTGTCTAATACAAAGCCAGCCCTCACACACCTCCACATGATTATCCCCCTTCTCTTAGGCCAAGAAAAAGTAGAAGGATCAAATAGCATATTTACTTCTATTGTTTGATTCCACCTACACTCGAAGAAAAAGAAAAACCAATCCCAAATATCAACAACGAAAGGAAAGGAGGTTAGTAGGTGGCAACAACTCTCACAATTGGATTTACAATGAATGCACCAGTTAGGGGGAGTACAAAGAAAGGGTATTCTTTTTTGTAGTATTACCCATTATGCTAATCTTCCCATGATCCCCTTCCCAACAAAATTTTAAACTTTATGTGGAATGGGTTTAAACCATATTTTGAAAACCGGACTAGACTGGATGGTCGAACCATTTGACCCAAGAACCAGTCATATCTCTGGGTCCGGTTTTAGTCTAAACTGCTTTTTTGAAAAAAAAATGTTGATTTGGTCAGAGAATTGCTGACCTGGATGGTTGAACCGCTGAACCGTTCAACCCAGATGGTGGTTCACATTTTAATAAAAATTTATTTATTTATTTTTTGCTGGCAGGATTGAAGAGAAAAAGATGAGAAACAGAGAAGGGGGAGGGACTGAGATGAGATCTCAGATCTGAGATCACTGAGAGAGAGAGAGAGAGAGAGATCAGATATGAGATTAAAGAGAGAAAGAGAGAGAGATCTCAGATTGTCATCGTCCCTGCCGTCGTTTGTCGCTGCCATCATCGTGATTGCGGCCGTCACCGATGAACATTACCTCTTCTTCTTCTTCCTTCCTTCCTTCTTTCCTTTTCTTTCTTTCTTTCTTTCTTTCATTTCCTTTCCTTTCCTTTCTTCCTTCCTTTCTCAGCCAACAACCAACTCCCTCTCTTTTCTCAAAAAAGACTACGATACATATATATGTAATACATTTTACCCTAATATTCCAATCTAAGGGTTCAATTCTTCAAACCATCCGAACAGTTCAGCCTGAATGGTCGAACTGTTGGCTCAGAAACTAGTGGCCAAAACGGTTCCGTCTTGAGGTCGGTTTTTAAAACCTTGGTTTAAACCATACCTCTTTGAATGGAAAAGAAACAAGAGGAATAGAGGTACACAGAGACTTAAACAAGGAGGCACAAGAAAAAAAAAACTTTGGATGAGGGGATCTAAATGTGTTTATTTGGTTTAGAGGGGTCCAAACACATTATCAAGAATCCGTAATAGACCAATTATGACCCTTAGGAAGTAGAGGAGGAAAAATAAATTTCAAGACCAAATCATTTTTTGTACAGACATCAAGTACAAGGAAAAGGTCTTTCAAAGGAGCACCCCAACCCAAACATCCTCCTAGAAATGTACAAAGTCCCCAGACCAAACATATACATGATAAAACTGAGAAAATGATGGAGAGTTCCATTAATAACCTTCAATAGTGATGTCAAAGTAGCTTGATAAGATACATCTGCATCCCAACCATTACCCAACCTACCATGAATGATGGCCACCACTTTGTACCAAAGTCTTTCCTTCTCTTACGGCCACCTCCATAGCCATTTCCCCGACAAAGCTACATTCTTCTTTTCTACATTGGCCACCCCCAAACCATGGTAACCAAACCTCCCACAAGAAATCTCTCATAACTTTTTCTTTTTTGCCTCTTTTTGTGGAACCCTGAAAACTGAAAGATAATAAACTGGAAAATTTGCAAGCATAGATTTTATCATGGTTTAAAATTTCCCTAATGAAAACTACCCAAAAACTGACATAAATTTTACCAGAATCGGCATATTCCCCAATGAAAACTACTGGTACTATGTGGAGTACAAGAAGTAGTTTCAACAACATATTTCCATTTTCACTTCCATGGATAGTGACATGAAATTTTACCGGAATCAACATATTCCCCAATGAACACTACCAACACTTTGTAGAGTACAAGAGAAGGTATTATAACATAAGTTGGTGATAATATTGTAGATATGTGGAGTAACAATGTTATTGCCCGCCTAACTTGCATGGTTACTTTGACCTAGCACAATATTCATTTCAAACATGAAGTTAATTATTAGTTTTTGTTGTGTATTATATTATTTGGTTGATCTATTACAGCAATATACATTTTCTGAGTTTAAAATTTTCTGACTCATTCTATCACAAAGCTCTAAATCTTAAGGTTTACAGGACAACTTCAAAACACATTCTTTTGTCTATAACCTTCCTTTCTTAGCTTTGTTTAATGATTTAGAACAAAATAATTATTTAAAAAACATGTGCCTATGTTTATTATTTTTATAATATTTCCATATGATATTTCCGACATGTTTCTTTTATTTGGTTGACCGACATTTCCACCGACATGGACATTTTAAACCTTGGATTTTATTAGCGTGATTCTACCCCTAGTGAAATATAATTCGCTTTCCAAACTGCCAACCTCTTTGCACACCTCTCTAAGATTAGGTGCCAAAACCTACTTTCTTTGGGATTTACTCCTCGGTGGAGACCCGGGTAAGTCAAGGGCCGACTGGTGGTGGAACACTCTAGGGTAGTCACTAGAGTCTAGCTCCCCCACCAAATTGAGCCCTGCAATAAAGATCATCTCAAGATTGATTTTCAAATTAGACACCATTACAAACTTTTTTTATTAGCAAAGTGAAAATTTGTTATAAGATTAAGGATTAAAGTTAATACAAAGAAGAAAGACTGCCATCCTAAAATGCCAGATTCAATATTGCTTAGCAGCCCAAAATAAATGCTGTCTTATAACTCCTTGCTTAATAAGGGAATCAGCTAACCCGTTTGCAGTCCTTACCCATGTAAACTCAGCAATTATATCCTTAGCAATACTTTCCACCTCCCTAGAAGCATGTGGAGATGACCATTTCAAACTTCTTTACAAACTCCTTTAATTCATACACCATTCTAAGATCTCCTTCACAAAAAATAAAAAATAAAA